GCTCTTCTCCCCCTGCCTGGTTTTTGCCTGTCACTTTGCTCAATTGAAATATGCACATTATTGATGAAACTTGCTACTCAAAACCTCTTTCTGCTCCCAATTAAGTCAAAAGAAAAACTTTCTCAGACTTTTAAGGCAGCAGGGTCTGGCCCTTCAGTGGAATTCAAACATAAAATATCATGCTTCCCTGACAGCTGTGTGCCTTCTGTGAGGAAAGGCCAAAGCCCAGCAACCGAAATACAGCTTGCTTTGGCTGCTTCAAAGTGAGATAGTAGTATGGGGAAAACTTTTACAAATGCCAATGCTGGCAAGGAAAGCAGGGAGACATTGGTCTGTTGCTCTCAAGGACGCACAGCTACTGCACATTAAGGAATTCTGCTTTTTGTTATTGAGCTTCTCATCTATACGCTATAGGAAAATATATGTATCCTTAATACTGATCACAAAATAGATAGCTTTATTTTTGACCCAGAGGAGAAGTTGCAGATCTTTTTGCTGAGTGTTCTTAATTTTTTGGCATATGGAAACACGGAAACTGTGTCATAAACCCTTTCAGCCTAAGATTAAAGAAAAACCAAATGATTCCACTTATAGGAGCTGTCAGATAACTCTGTAGTAGATCTTAGACTGGATGTGGACACCAAGCTTGTTTAAAAAATGAGACGCTTAATTATTTGTTATTGTTTTTTTTTAATTTTTCAGGTTCTTGGAATGCCAGAAGTGATCATTCCAGAAGGTATTTTCTTATTAGCTATTTGTGACTATAGATAATGGGATTTTTTTGTCTTTTTTTTTTTTTAATGTAAAGGGTTTATAGTATCCAAGCCTTTTAAAACAGTGGCAAATACATTTGTTATTAAGATTATTATGACAGCCTAAGTGTGCATGTTTTAGTATCTAATATTTCATTTTTTATCTTGAGATTTTGTTCAGCTTTTTAATAAATATTATTAGTATTTGTACCTTGTCTTTCATGTGGCCAGGCACACTCTGTTTCAAGGTAATAATGAAATTGTTATGTAAATCTGTCTCCATTTTACTGTGTAGATTGTGTAGCTGACACCTCTACTTTCTGAAAAATTGACTGACACTTGAAATATCTGTCAGGAGAACATGTGTGTGTTCCCTCTCATGTCCCAGATAAAAAATGAACTCTTTTCAACACCTCTTTCCAAAACCTCTTTCCCATGTTAAAAATATAAACAACAGTTTTAAGACTTTAGAAGTATTTTGCACAGTTTATTTCTTGTTAAACTCTGCAGCTATGAATAGTATATGCATATCTTAAACATTTATTACCTAACATAAAAAATCATATAAGGTTTTTTCCATTCACTAGTCTAAAGTTTTAAATAGCTTGTCTGTGTTTGTGTTTGTTTATAAAATTATCACTTTTTAAGTTAAGAAAACTAACCCTATACGACCTAAAGATGTTTTAGGAAAGAAAAATGTCTGCCTCCACAATTTGGCATGCATTAGATACTCAGTAGTACGCATACATTACCCTCTTACGTTGTCCTCTATAAGGTAGGCATGTACAGCAAGCCATTCATGATTAGTGATTCTAGTTAATATCCTTATGCAGATGTGTCTCAACAGTACTGCAGTATGTAGTTAGAATATCTAAACTACTTGTTTCTCCCTTGTTTTTTACAATTTGATTTACTTACACTCACATGTTAGTAAGCTGATAGTCCTAGGTCCTGGAAAAATGTAGACCTTACAGATTTTAGATTTTAGCAGACTAATAGAATTCCCGTTTCTCTATCCAGCTGTATATATGTATCTAGTGTACCTGAAAATTATTTCATAGACATCTGATTACACAGTACTTTGTTTAAAGCGGCTTAAGTTTTTATAGACATTCCAAGATTCCAAAATAGCTTCGTATTTTTTATTCATTCTTTACTTTATAACAAGGAAACGTTAGAACTAGTAACTTCTCTGCAAAGATTCTGCTTATCTTATTGTCCTAGTAAGAAAAAGAATTATTAACCAAGATGTGGGCCTTCTCTTTGGGCTTTGGAAGGGGACAAACAGTTCTTTAAATTTCCATCTGGAAAGCTGTGAGATATGGACTGCATGGCTCTTGGCTTAAATGTCTTGTTAATGGGAGTAATAACGTCACGCAGTATTTCATTGTACATTCCTCTATACTCCAGTGAGCATGAGCTCTGATTTCTGTAAGAAGCTTGGACTTAACATTCGCTCCAAAGATGAATGTTACTGAATGAACTGAATGGAATACTGTGGGATTTTTTGGAAGGAAGGAGAGTAGGCATGAAATACCATTTAAAGCTTTTAAATTACAATTTACGATAGCTATGTAAACCAATGTGAACATATAAAGACTATCAGAATTGCACACCAGCCTTGTAAGTTCCTATATGTTATGTTTACCAACCCTACTCTGTATAAATGTGCATATATGCTCACACAAACACATACGTAGATTATTCTAAAATTTTTAAACATGATTTTGTATTACAAGCAGCGACCTTTATTGAACATCTAACACTACTAAAAATAAAATCACGTGTTAACATTTCAAATGCATTTTAAAGGATGATGTCTTAGCATGTGACAATTGGGGTGGTGGTTCAGTTTTTGACTACCATTTGAGGTGTTTTTTTGTCTTACACGGTATTTTTATATGATCTTGAATTATCTTAAAGCCTAATCTGTTTCTCAATAGATGGAACTTTTAACAACCTATTACTAACCTTGTTGTGATAAACTACTTAAAAATGAAAAAATACAAGTTGCGAGAAAACACGATCTCTTATTTGTGGGTTGTGCTAAGTATACCATGTTTGCTGTTTATATGGACTTACTCCAGAGACCTCTGTAACAGTATCAGGGTAAGAAAATAAAGATACATCTTGATGCCAGAAGTTTCTAGAAGGTTTTTATACAATGAAACTGTAAGAAGTCAGTTATACTGATCTGGGGATGCCTGGTGGTGGATGAAGTTAAGGGTTATCTTCGTGGCCACTACATCCACCATTTACTGGTAACTTTTTTCCCCTGATTTTGTGTTAAGAAGTTATTATAATGAATTTTCATGTAATAATATGCAGCAATGTATTATCTCTGAGGTAAAAATGTTCCTGCTTTAGGTTTTGGTATTTCATGCCTAAAACCTAGAGCCTATGAAATGAATTGTTTTATTTGTTTACTGTGATTTGCAGGGATATTATTCAATGACAAGGTTACACTGACCTATCATTTCATGCATCAGTGGTTCTTCTATTGCACTGATTTGATCAAGCCTAGCGGATAAAAGAGGAGCAACCCACCCAATGGATCAAATTAGAATTATAATAAAAAGTGCACATCCTGAAGGGCAGAGTAGGTTAAGTATGGGATTTACTGTACTTGGCGTCATTTTTTGCAATCCAAATAAATTTTCTAGCAGCTTTCTTTGTAAATATTTGTTCAAACTTTATATTCAAACTTTGTATTTTGATTTTACATAGTTGTGTTAGTGATGCTGTAGCACAGTTGAGGAAAAAAGGTAGTATTTCAGCTAATGGAGGCTCTGTTAGGTTAGGTACTTATCAAAGTGCAATAGACCTTTTTGGCTTTGAATCCACAATAAGTTCCTGATGTCTCTCTCTTTGCTGTACAACTTCGGAGATTGCCGTTGCTCCTAACAGTGAAGAACTTGCTATTCTGCAGTCGTAAAACGTCACATAATTCACAGAATTACAAAATCACAGCATCTTTGCGGTTGGAAGGAACAGCTGGAGATCATCTGGTCCAACAGCCCTGCTCAAGTAGAATCACCTGGATCAGGTTGCCCAGGACTGTGTCCTGTTGGGTTTTGAGTATCTCCAAGGATGGAGACTCCACAACCTCTCTGGGCAATCTGTTCCAGCGCAATTCTTCATAGTTACCTTGTCTGGGATCTGTCAGACAGTGGAAAAGAGACTGCATGGCCTACAGCCTCCTTGTACTTCTAGAGCATTCTTGTTCCCAGTTCCTCTCCTTGAATGACGAAAGTAGTTCAGTGAACGAGGAGGAGCTGTATACTCTCTATTCTCTCCTGGATGAGTTGTACGCTGCTTTTATCCACAGTATGGGCCAAGTTACCTGCCTTATGTAAGGTTTGAAAAAACTATTGTAGACTCAAATGTGATTTTAATAAGATGCAGGAGATATCTGTAAGTGGCTCTAGAGTGGGATATGTGGAAGTTATAAAAGAGAAGCTTAATTTTCTGTTTCTCTAATGATGAAAAGAAGAGTATGTATTAGACACATTTTTAAGTCATTTTGTATTTGTTCTGAGTTGCTCTGTTGGGTTGATGCACTAGTACCACGTAATAAGCCTGCACTGATGAAGGTTTGCTGATACTGGAAAATGAAGGCTATTGGAAACAATAATTACAAATTCTAGCACCTCGTGAATACTACAGAGCATAACAGCAGCATTCGTGTGGCTTGCTTACTAAGGAATCCACTGAGAAATATGTTTATGCACATATTTAAGTTTCAGTGATCTGAATAGGACATAATATCATACTGCAGTTCTTTACATAGTAGAGTGGAAAGTAAGTAAGTAAGTAAGTATGTGCTGAAATGCTTTGCAGGACGTGAAGGCCCCAGGGAAGAAGTTCAACTTGAGAGCTTATGCAAACACTAGGATATTCCTGCTTCACTTCCTTTATTCTTTTGGGTTTTTTGAGTTAGCTGTTAAGTCTAAATTAATAAATTGCTTCAGTAACGGCAGGTCAGCAAAAACACAGGGTTAATTATTAAATTAAAAAATTAAGAGATTAACAAAAATTTACTTTGTTTTGAAGTTGTATGTGTACTTATACAAAATTATGGTAGTCTAGTGTTCAAAAAGTTATTTACAGGGCGGATTTTTTCTATTATCTATTAGGCACGCTTGTTTAAAAAGGACAGACACCAAGAAGGTAAGTGTCAGCTTACTCCAGGATTGAATATTCACCTCCTTTATGGGCAGTAGATTTGTTTAATTTCTTATTTAGCTATTGTACTGAATGATGTTTTAAGTTACATTGCTCTGAATATTCATACAGATGATGACATGAAGTTTCAGTTTGTATCTTTGTGTGAATTTCTGTTGAAAACTTTGAATTTACTGTTGAAAACTTTCACTGCCTTGGGAATTTTACTATTGATGAATAGTAAAAAAAGCTGAATAAAATGATGAATAGAAAATCAATGCTTTTTAAAGTTATTGTTTCTATTTTAGGAACAAAGAGACAAAATGGAAAATTACACATTTAGGGGGTCAGGAGGTAAATTATTTAACAATTTCTAACCTTTAAAACAACACTTGCTTTAAAATACTTAAAATAATCAGGAAAATCTAAGCACACATTTGAGCAATTTGATAATACTTATTTGAAAAGAAGCTTTTTATATTTGAAATAAAATGGAGGGAGGGGAACTCCCCTCAGCTCATGCTACATCAAGTGAAAGAAATCTTAAAATTGAGGAACAGAATTTACATCAGGTGAACCAAAACGTGAAACAGATGTTCTGTATCTGTTTTTCAGAAGAAGTGGTTATTGAACCAATCCAAGCAGTACCACGATAAGAGGGTGTCTTTGGTTTTGCAGCTGATCTATTACATGCCTTTTTAAGCAATTAGAGCTCAATAATGCAATCATTTGTCACCCAATTAATTTTGAAAGACTGGGAAATATATGGATTAACACTTTAACCTATGGTTCACTTGGCACCATTGTTATTTAGATCCAATAAAAAACACTGTTAACAATATTGTGCAAGCTACATTACAGAAACTTAAACGTCTGTGTTCTGTGATTTTGACTTGTTATTTGATTTTTTTTTTTTAATTACTACTACTGTGGATTAACTCATGTATTCTATACAAAACAAAAAAGATTACTTTTATTTATTCATAAGTACATTATAGTTAGAAACATTAATTGAGAAAATTATTGGTACAGTGTTTTTCCAGGGCTGATGGTGTGCCCCTGATGTCAACAGAAACTGTGTCATAGGCTTTAATATGTGTGAGTTACAGCCCTGTAATATCATCACGGCTTTGAAAACTTTGAGCACTGAAGCTAGAGTTCTTATAAGTTTAAGATAAAACTATGGATTTGCCAAAATAAACAAGTTGCTATACTTTTTATAGTGCTGATCTTGAAATCATTAAGTACCGTTCTGTCAGTGGCTCAGAATCGTGATTCATGAGAAGGTTCTAATCACTGGGAGAGGCAGCGTAAAGGCAATCTCAATACGGAAAGTGTACTGAGACTTCATTTTTAGAATTTCTAAGCTGAATTTTAAACATAGCGCGCACTAACTCGGATTTTGGATGCTTGAAAAACAGTGTATGAATCATAGAATAATGTATGTTATAAGGGACTTCTGGAGGTCATCTCGTCCAATGCCTTACTCAAAGCAGGACCAACATAGGTTTCTCAAGGTGTCACCCATTTAAATATTGAACATCTCCAAGGATGGAAATTTCGCAGCCTCATTGAGCAACCTGTTCCAATGCTTGGTTGCCCTCATGGTAAATTTTTTTCTCTAATGTCTAACCAAAATACCTAACCAGCTGAAATACGTTTTTTCTTGCTTGAGTTTGTCTGAAATGTTGGTCCTTTGTGCTTCTCCGTATCTCTCATAATATTATGTTTTGAATTTATGTGTTGTATTCATAAACTCAGCTTTAACTGCCGGACTGGAAACTCATTTGCACTAATGTAAACTTGAAATAAGGCTAAGTAAGGGCTTCAGCAGTGTACATCCAGCTTTATTCTAGTGTAATGCTAATCACAAATGTGATTGTTCTGCCACCTCCTAAAGGGATGCCTTTTGTTTCGGTATGTTTGTGTATGGCTATGTATATGTGTATATATGTGTATAGTCACAGAATTCAGTGTATATACATGCATAATTGATTAAAAAGTAGGAATATTAGCTCTAGAAAAGCAGGCAGCATATAAAAAATATATTATTTATCAATCAGCTATGGTACAGGAAGATTACTTGATTGTAATGTTCACTAAGTTAACGCATATTCCAGTCTGAAGTGATTATTTCATTGCCTCTGTACTTGTTGAAGTTTAAACTTGCTTACTCAATCAAGGAACTTCTGTATCCCTTAAGACTACAGACCTAAGATATATGAATGTCATTCCTGCAATCCGGGTGCAATACTTTTAAGTACATTAAGCAATACTTCACTGTCAAAACAGAAGGATGCGCAGTGAATATGATATCATGCAACCCACTACTGTTGAGGATATGCATTAATCCTGCGTGGAGTAAAGAGCTGGCTATTATATTTGCATGGCTATTCAGACAGGTTTTCTTGAAAAGAAAGCTCACTCTAGAGAAGCATGTTCTGGACCAAAAAAACATAGTTTGCCTACAGCGTAATGCGAAACAATGCCAGTGCTTTACAAAAGTTGTGACATATGCTACCTTTCTATGCACAAGCCCTGCTACCTTGCACTGCTTGGGCACTGCTCAAGGGTTCCCAAACTTAAATTTGCTCAGCTGCTACATTAAAGAATGGCCTGAAGGACATTAAACATACAACAAGCAGCACAATAAATGTGTCCAGGAGAGAGCATACCTGCATTACCGCTTCTTTCCCTTACATGTAGCCAAAAGTAGTTGCAGTTTCTAGCTCTACTCTGGGCCACAAGTGGCACTGAAGGAGACATTTAACTATTCAGTCAGCACCTCTTCCAGAAATAAAATGATGATTCGAATGTTTTTGTGTGCTACTTGGAAATAGCATGCACTTGTCAGGTGGGCACCATTATGCAGGAACTCTGAGGTAGTTATTAAACTCTCATCTAAACGCATGTACTTCTGTCATCTCCCTAAACTATTATAACTGGACTTTTGATGCTGTTGTTTTGGATTCGAAAAATGAAAGAAAACCTTGTTGAGCACTTAGATAAAATGCTCTCTGAATGTTGTAGCTGTAGCAAGAACTTTCATATTTGAGTCTTCTATCTTTGGGTGTATTTCTTGAAGGTGCTATTTTCCCAATTAAATAAATAGCTGAGCACCCTTATAACTGGCAGCATCACATATTGTGTGATTTGATCATGCTGATGATGATTTGGTGTTTGTGGAACCTACTGATGATACTGAACCATTTATAATACCTCCAATGACAAATGAGAGGATTTAAAGGTTCAGTGTACAGAAGAAATATTCCTTATGCTTTAACACAGTAACTGTATGTAGTCACTGTTTGGAAAGTAATTTCAATGACTTAAATATGTTTCGGTGTCATTCTCAACCATGAAAAAGGAAAGGCAAACATCTGTGAGTTGTAAACAAGAAAATTTAAGAAAGTTAATGAAACTGCTGAGAGCTAAATAATCAATAAGTGTGATTTTTTTCACTGTTGTCACCGATTAACATGTGTCAAAGAACAAGATGATGGTCTCAGCATCGGAGGGGTACTTACTGTGTGAGAGAGAAATTTGGCCTGGCTTTCTGTATCACAAATTATATTTAAGTGGAAAAAAAAAAGGCAAAATTGTCTTTGGTCTCATGCTCAGACCGCAACCTTTTTTTGCCGTGGGACAGAGTGGCGTCTCACTAACTTTGTTCAGTACAAGCTGAAATATATTATATTTTTATTGGAAGGTTATAATTACATTGGGAGAATGTATTTTCTCTCTGTGAAAAATCATTACTTTTAATGGAAGGTGTTTTGGGATTTGGAACAGAAATGGTAAGCAATGGCTGAAATATTCTTTGAAAAATAGATCTGATTTCATCCTCTGTGTACTTTTGATAAAAAGTGCTATGTAAATATTACCATTAAGCTTTTTAAATAGATCTTTATTCCTTCGAACAATTTTGGCAGTGGCCAGTTCCTTTTCCTGGTTGGTTAGTGGGAGGTCTGTCAACAGGAGATGGTTTTTGGCCATTGGGAAGGCACTGACTTCTGTGGCCCCCTTCAGTAGTTCACGACTACAGTCTTGAACTGCAAGTTACCAAGATGTGTGGGGGACTAAATATTTTCTATCCCAGCTTGACTTTCTGATACATGGTGGATGCCCCAAAAAGACTAGTAGCACAGGTCAGGCAGCTGCAGTCAGCGTGATCTGCCATTGCCTAGGGAGAACATAAACAGAACAGGGGGAAAAGAGAATCTTGGGCAGCCAGAGAAAACAAGTTTTGAGCTGCGTGATTTTGTCTCCTGGATGTGACTTCAAAAATAAATACGTTCTAAAATGTAGAGATACTGTAAAACCTTATTTTTTCCTCAGTGAAGCCAAGTTTGATCTGGGTTGCCACTGAATTAATGGTGAAGAAAAGAAAAAAACATTTTTCATTATAGTCTTTGCAGAGCTTAGGTAATGGGAGAAGGCATGTTAAAATGTGAGATAAAGTTTCTTTTTCTGTGTAGAAGGCAGGAAAGGAGAGAGGTAGCTGGCTATATGACTGCTCCTTTCTGGTACTTTGTAATTCTGAGGTGTTTTCAGCCTCAACTAATGCATCATATAATGTCTAGAACTACTGTTTTGTCCTTCAGTGTGTGTTTATTTTTCAAGCAACCCATTTTTCTGTGAATAATTTATATTTACTATAGGGTTATCACAAGTCAGTGTATTTCTTTGCTGTGGCTGTAAAGGCTCATTAGAGATTGATTCACTCTGGTGAAAATGCTATCATTTTTATAATTTCTGATATTTATATACTTATTTGGTTTTTCTGTTTTTTTTCCCCCCACTACTGGAAATATTTATGCAATATGTAGATGGGAAGTTTCATCTAAAATTGAGAAAAATAAGATTAATCTATCCAGCAGTCTTCCCCAAACTGCGCAAGAAAATACAGGTAAGATTTGTATTTACTTCAAGTTACCTATAGATTGTGGTGTGGCAGGCTGAATGAAATGGTTATGATTTGGTTGGTTTATAGGTGTTATAAGCAACTTGTTGCGCCGATCAG